ATTATACACTTTGTCCAATACTGCAAAACTGGGGCGTCGGAATAAACAAATGTGCGTCCAGCAGCCTATTAATGCCTCCAGGATTTTCCTTGTGATAACTTTCTTGCAAATGATCAAACTGGTGATGTAGCAGAGCACCGCGATGCGCCCTCTGGGAGCCGATACTCTGCCCTCACGACCATCGATCTCCGCACCCAGAACCGTGGCATGGTGAACCTGCCTCTGTCGCTTTCCGGGGTGTGCTGTAAGTTTCACTTGTTGGTATGCAGCTTCAGCCCTCTCAAAAACCTCCTGGTCACGAGTGCGCTCGAGCACCGGGTCATGGTTTTTCTTGACCACCTGGAGACCAATGTGGTCGTCGATGGTGAGCAGTTCAAAAAATGGTCCTCGAGGACAGGGCTTCCGATATTGCATAACCTCATCTGGTTGCATGCACCCTGCAAGAACATGTAGAAGATTGTAATGGCTCTGCTGTGCAATCTCTACAGCCAATGCGTCCCCCATTGCTAAAGTTGCTAGGCAAATATAACAATCGACATTGAACAACGCTGGTTGGAAACACTGCAAATGTTGAAGCTCTTCACCCCTGAACTTTACTCCAATTGCATTGCGACGGCCTCTGGCTTTCGACACCTTGAAAGTGTAGTAGAATTCGCAGGTCGTCAGAGGAGATGAGTAGTTCCTCGTCGTTCTGCAATTGGAGTGAAGTGATTAAATACCCAGGTGCTAGCGTTTTGGTGTACCGTGAATATGTATGGCAGCGGGAGTTAATCACAGTGGGGTTGAGGATGAGCCTGTCCCAATCTGCATCTTTTGGGACTGTGAATAGCCCCACCGTCTCAATCTCAGCGATGTCCGAACACCGACTAATCTGGCAAGCGTGCAAGGCATCCCACTTTTCAGCCAAGCGAAGAATCTCCTGGCGGTCCGCATGAACAATGGCCCGCGGACGTCGGGGCCAGAGATGCGCAGGCTTCCGCATGGAGTCAGGGTTCTGAAAGGCCTCTCGAATGATTGGATCAGTCAGAAAGGGTGAAGGATCAAACGATGGAGCCAATTTCCACTTTATGCGTGATAACTTGAAGTGCAGCTCTGCATAGGAACCCTGACTGGCGGCTGTACCAGACTCTCCGGTCTGTCTTCGAACGAGGGCTCAGGTCGGCCAACTGATGGTGCAGACTTTCTGGGGTTCCCATAAGCATCAAACGAAACACGAAGTGATTCTAAAAACTAGAGATGTCCTGAAAGGAAAGCTCTCGGTGTGAGGTTTTCAAATCAAAAGCTAAAGCGCTTAATTTACTCAACTTCTCCCCTGCCCGACCTAAACTCTCGGTGGTGATCACTCCGGCGCTCATGAAGTAGCTCACAAGCTCCTCCAGATGCTCCAACATCACCAGCTGCTGCTGATTCATAGGTGCTCCCACTCTAGCATGTGCGGGCGGTCGAGCAGCGTGGCCTAATGAAAGCCAGTTCAGCGCGATCACCAGCATCTGTAGGGCAAAAGCTTTGGCTCGCAGGAAACGATGTCTCTTCCTGCGTCGGGGCGACAGTGAGCTGAGCCTGGTCCATCGACCCCATCTCGGGGGGGGACAAGGCCACATGTCAGACCGACTTGTCATCGGCCTGTCATCGTCGCGGAGTGGTTTCAGACTGAGGCGAGCAAACGATGCTAGGCCTCCTCTGGAGTTGGCCACATGTAATGCAGCCAGAAAAAACTCTATGCACTGAATTGACTCTGGCAGACCCTCTCCAGCCGTGGGAGGTGTCAAGGCAGGGAAGGGCACATCATCCCATTCACTGCGGCCAGAGCGGCTCCTAGGATGCTCCTTGTCACTTCTTGCCCCGGTCACGGAGTTCTGGCTTGGCCGACCCGCCCCCCGACCGGAAGAAGCGGTGGGAGGACAACTCCCCCGCTCTGAGGTAGAGGAGCTCGGCAAAGGGGCAGGCTGGCTAGCCAGATCTCCCGAGGCTGTACCACGGGGCTTTATGTGGCCGAGGATGACCCCGCATCCTCCTTGCCCTTCCTTTTGGGCTTCCACTTCTTCTTTGGGGCTGCTTCGTCCACATTCTCCTTGACTTGAGGGGGAAGGGCATTGGACGTGTTTGCGGCTTTGATCTTTCCTTCCAGAAAATCTAATTCTCTCATGTATGCCACATTGGCGCTGATCCAGGAAGGTTGAGCAAGTCGTGTGAACGGACTCATCGACTGCCGATGTCTGTTTCTTTGCACCACACTGAAGGCCGGCTCCGGCAATGAGGTCAGCAACCAAGCCAGAGTGGTGCGGCCGTAGTCTATGGCCGACTGATCGATGAACACGAGTCCGCGGCTGCAAAACCCCAGCATCTGCTTGTTCCCTGAGCGGAATGCCACTTCCCAGCCGTTGGCGAACATGTAGGCCATTTGCACGAGCAAGCGTTGGTCGCCAAGAGGAGATCTCTTCTCGATGAAATCTCGCATCAAGCCAGGATGGACACTCAAGGGGTCGACCCCCAGCTCCTGCGCAGCATTCTGCAGTACGATCTCGCCCACTCGCTCGAGATCGGAAGCCACTTTGATGTATGCCTCCCTGGCCAGACACCCCTTGATGCCTCCTCCGCCAGTCGAGGAATCCGATCCCCCGGTTCCCGACAGAGCCTGATGGATGGGATCTGTGGCCTTGACTTGTTGCTGCTTTGCCAACAGGTTCATCTGCTTCATTTGCAGCAGAAGTAGGCGCTGCATGGGATCCACCAAACCGGCCTCCAGCTCCTTGATGCCATCCTCCAACTCCGTTTGTTCGGTGGCCTCCAAGCCTCCTTCCTGCTGCAAAGCCTCCAGGATTTGTTCCGGGCGATTTTCTCGCCACTCCTTCTCGTGCACACCCAGCCTCATCGGTGCAGCTGCTGCAAGCTGCTGCAACCTCTCTCGAGGGTCGAAGCCCGCAGGGATCTGATAGGGCGCACTGCTGAACAGAACTCCAGTAGGTCGAGGCGGAGGTGGAGGGTGCTGCTGAAGTGGGACTCTCTGCACCCCGAAGCTTTGGTCGCCAGTAATGGGACGATTTTCCAGCTCTGCTAATCGGCGTCGGAGCATCTCCATCTCGCTCTCTGCAGCTGGGCCGCCAACTGGCGACGGTGTGTAGGCCTCGTCTGGAATCAACTCCTCGGGCTCCTCGGCGGTGAGATACTCGGCAGCGGTCTCGCTGTCCATCACCTCGTTGATCCAAGAGACTGCAGCCTCCTCTGTGGATTGCCTGCGCGGGCGACAAGCTTGCCCATCGAAGCCGAAGCGAATCACCTTGTAGAGACTTTGATTCCGCAAGGCATGAGCTCGCATGAACAGGTTGGAATGGCTCCATACACAATCCACCAGCAGACAGGCTCCAAGCCCCAGCAGCCGTCCTCGTGGAGTCTCCATGTCGACCTCGACCGGGTGCACTGCAGCGGCCTCCACACCTTCTTCTGTACCCAGCTCTCTCAGGTAGTCGGCGACCTCCGAGTCGTCCGGAAGACAGACCATGAACCCCCCGGCGCGATGCTTGACCAGATGCCCTAACACTCTCACGCCTCTGCCATCTGTCCTCGGGGGCAAGATCAAAAAGACTCCAGGAAGGGCGCCAACTGCGCCCGGGCCCCCGAACAGTGAGCGAAGGGCGTCCTCGCTCAGGCCTGCTGCTGCAGCAGCGGAGGCCATCCCGTCTCAGCACCGATGCAAAAAGCCTCCGCCTCGGCTTGCGAAGAGAAGGCGTGGCTAATCACTGATGGGTGGAACCTGGTGGAGGTACCACGCACTGCAGACAAATAGAGCTCGTACTTGTCAGTCCAGCCAGGTGAGGAGCCTGGAGCAGCTCGGAGCACCACGTAGACTCTGTTGGCCAGCGGGATGTCGGGCCGTGTGACCCTAGGCACCACTTGACCTCGAAGTTGCAGCCCAGCTAGAACTCCAAGCCTCAGAGCCCGAGCCAATCGTGCCAGCGGAGTCCAACCTCCTGAAGTAGCACGCAACCTGCTCTCCAAATGCTGGACAGAACTAAGGTCCAAACTCTCCAAGGCCGCAGGTGTGTCGGCGGCGATCACCCCAGCCTCCCAACTCGATGAACGGGTCCTGCGAAGTCTCTGTGGAACCTGCTCAGGGACCTCCTCCGTCACTGAAGGAGCTCCGGTGGCCTCTCGGCCTGCGTAGGCACCCAGACGGGGGGGATCCGTAATCACAGAGAAGGAGCTGAGACTGGCGTCGTCCACAGGCTCTGCACTACCACGTGCGGGGCTGTTCCTCGAAACTCGAATGGTGAGGCCACCCAATGAGACGGTAACCTCGTCGAGGGACTCCTCAAAGCTCATGCACGATCCTCGCGGTACTGCGAGAGGCGTCTCCGAAGTTGCAGGTGCTCGGACTGAACAGTTGCTCCGGGTGTAGGAACAACGGAGGCCAGAGAAGCGCTAGCCACAACCAACAGGCCTCGTCGAAGGCCAGGAGACACCACCAAAAGCGTGCAGCAGCTCCCCAAGCACAGGCCCACCAGAAACAAGCTAAGGCCGATGAGGGCCAGAAGGGACCAGGTCGGTCCTGAACAGCTAGGGCCTGGCGGCCAAAAGAAACGAAGCTCGCGAAGGACGTCAACCGCCCAAGCTAGGTGCATTCGCTGCGAGCCGAGATTCTTGAGCGGTTTCATTCGCTCATGCCGGCAAGTGATAGAGAACATAACTGAATCAACATTGAATATCAATATCTTGGCTCAACTGGTGAGGTGCAAGGGAAGGGCCTGTGCTTTTGCACTGCTCGTATTCCCCCTGGCTTCCGACCCTCCTGAGGCTTACTGTAACTCTTAAGAATGATGGCTAGAGGGACCCCTTGGCAATGATCCAAACCATACTCACACACTCCATGTATGCAATCTTGACATAGATTGGGATGGTTTTAGGGGTGAATATGTAGGGTTTTATTGGGTAAATATGCCAGGATAGATTTTGGTCCAATCCTCAATAAGGAGCCCTCACTGAGCCCAACGCCTCGGACCCGCCTTCTGTCTCAAGGCTTCCTGTTCCGCCGCTGTGCGCACCACTGTGACCACCTCCTTCCGGGCAGTGCCCGGTTGCCGGCCCGGCGCCTGACCGTTGTGCCAGTCTGAGTCCATCGATACATCTAGCAGATCTACCACCTGAGGTAACCGAAACCACACTCCAAATCCAATGGCTTGTTTGCCACAAAGAACGGACCAGAACCCCGACTTGACCTGCCTGCGCGCCCTTCACGAGCTTCGGGACGATCTCGATGCTGGAGTCGATGGGCCCGTCGAAGGGGCATTGCCAGCCGCTGGTGGGAGGACTCTTGGCCTTGGATTTGCTTGGAAAGCCGGGGAAAATCTAGAATCTTCATGAAGCTTCCCCATGCGGGATTTACCATGATGCATCCAGAGAAAATAAACATTCACCCGATCCACCAGGCTGCTGTGGTGTCGGGATGAAAGGCCCAGACCTGCAAGGGCAAGGGTCAGCTGTGCGTGGAAGACTCTCCGCAAAATTGCCGCTTGCGTCCGATTGCAAACGCTGGCAGACTCAACCATTGTCTGCGAACATGATCTTCACACGGAAAAAGAAGAGAATCCAAAAAGAAGAGACAAACTTCACTCAGACCTCTCTGCAAATGTCTCTAACTTTTCCACCCCTATCTCTGCTTGCTGTGCCCCTCCCCGCAACGTCCCGCTTCTCCAAACCTGCGGTGGTCGCCGAGCCTCGTCGCCACCGATCTGGGGGCCGAACCACCAGCCACTGAAGTCCGGGGACTCCTCCCGTCCAGTCGATCCAAGGCGGTCGAGAGGAGAGTGTCTTTCTACGACTCCCAATCAATGGGTAGACTGGTCGATGTTCCGAACCTTCAAGAATTGCTAATTGAATTTAACTTAATTCTTGTTTCTAATAGCTTCTTGTTACTACTAGTAAGGCCCTTGCTCCTAGTAGCGATGCACTTGTTCCTAGTAGCTTATTGTTTCTAGATATACGGTAGACTGGTCGATGTTCCGAACCTTCCAGCGGGTTGGAGGTCTCCCTGCTTCACCGGGAAGATGGTGAACAGCTCTCATTTGTAGGACCATTGAAGCTGGAAACTCCCAGTCAAAGAGTTCAGACGCAACGCCGCGGGCTGAATCTTTAAGAGTTCAGGGGCAAAAGGTTGATTTGGACTCAAAATCCCAGGTGGAGGACGGAATGCCACATGATGACACATCACATGCCACACATATCACATATACATATATCCGAATATCCTTGCGAACCAAAACAAGTGAGTGTGTTGAATGGGGTGTGGACACATACATTCAGGATTCTGAAAACGATTGAATACATCGAATTCAACGAACGAACAACCTGCATTTAGAAAGTATTCAATGTATATGAAAATGTTAGAAATTCAGAAATACTGTTGATTCATGAAATAACTATGGCAAAGGCGTTGAAAGCCGGCCGGCAGCGGGCCCATTGCTGACTGTTATCTATATAAGTTCCTATCGTTAATTGCGTCTGTGGAAAGCTGTCTAGCGCCGGGCTGCAGGGATGTAGCGTACTCCACTGCCAATGCCTCACCAACCGGCCTTGATCAAGAGCCTAAGCAATACAGCCGCCAACCCTAGCGCAATGCTGCATTTTGCTAGCGGCGACAAGGTAGCACCCAATTTGAACACCGGAATTTCAAGCGGTGGCCGACGGGCAGTACTTCTTGTTCACCTCCCCTGAAATATTGGTTTTCAGTTTCAGACCCCACCCGGAAATACCCGGAAGTTACCTTTTTAAGACTTCCGTATGTGTATAAAAATATACAAATGTGTGTATATATATGTATATGATTGTATATGTGTGTATATTGTAATTATATTCAATCTGAACTGACATGTTTGTCTGTGTGTGTTTCGGTTGTCTATACCTATATCACGAAAGCATCCTTGTCGTCCCAGAAGTAGAGCAACACATCCGTGGTGCCTTTGCTTCCCACCTGAGCGGACGGAGCTCGTGCAGCCGCTACAAGTAGCACTCACGAGACTCACAAGCAGTGGCCAGGATCAGGTGTGTCTGGGGGGAACCTTGTGACCTGGCCACTGCAAGTGTGTCAACCCAAAGGATTTTCTTGGAAATTCCGGGGACCGCAAGAGATTCTGTCGTGAAAACCAACCTCCAGGTCAGTGCCCAAAACAACGGGCCTTGAAGATCCAATCCCCACGCTCCGCATCCCCGAGGGGTCTGCTTCACCCCTGCCTTCTCATCTTTTCGGAAGACGGGGCGGTCATGGTTCTTCTCTTGCAGAGTGTAGCTTCCTCTGATGATCGGCCCAACCACGTCATCCTTACATCCAACAATCTGCAGGGCATCGAACGAGCTGGGAGTTGTCTCGACCTTTGCATTCGGTCGCCCTCCCCCTCGCCGGCGGCGCATGGCACAACACAGGCGGGTGCTCTTCAGCAGTGGGGACTCCCCAGAGGTGGGCAAGGTCTTATCATGTCTTTGGGGCTGAAAGGTCTGGCAAAAAAAGATGTTCCTTGGTTTTGCACCCCCCAAAGAAAAGGAGGAATCAACACCTCTGGTCACCTTCCGAAATTTGGCGAGATTGTGAATTCGTTCAGGTGCCTCCTCTTTCTGATTCTAGCAAACAGAAGCTTCAGTAGTCTTAGAAGTTCTTGATTGCCTTACTTCATGAGCACAGGACCTTGTCTTGGGTGTCTTTCCGTCGTTTTGATCCATGATCAGCTCAGGAGCTCGGAGAAGGCGCGCTGTGGTGATGGCACCAATCGGACATGTGTGAAAAGACTAAGGGTAGCTCCCAAGCAAGGTGAGACTTGAAGTGCTTCCTGCGCTTCCCGCAAAGGAATGCTCAAAACAACTCGTCTTGCAGACCTCCAAGGGCCTAGGGCCTAGGGCTTTTTTGTTTACCTCTCTGTACGTTCGCGTCCATGAGAACCATCCAAAACGAGCCCAGGAGCCGAGTCCAAGGGCTCCGGTCGACTGGGGCTTTATGTGGTAAACACCTGCTCACCAGAGCGAAGAAACGGTGTGATTCTAACAGCCAGTCATTGAAGTCCTGGTTAACCATCAGGAGCCCCAAATTTCCTGCCATGTGGTGATTCTTGGACTCAGCTATGGTAAAACCCTGGCCCATCTGATTGGTTTCACGACTCACGCGTATTCTTTTCACCACTCAGCGACCATGTCGGCTCCTTCCGCGGGCGCAGCGGGCGCCCGTCTCAGGTGGCGTGGTCACATCCAGCGAAAGTAACTGGCGCTCTCGAATGTGGAGCATTCGCTCGTCCTGATGGTCACTGGAATTTTACGGTGTCATGAACCAGTCAATGCGACTATATATCTCCAACAGTCAATAGTCACTGGATGGTCGATGGTCAATGAACCAGGCAATGTGATATCTCCAACAGTTTTCTGAAAGCTGGACTGTTGGGCTACGTCGCCTTTAACCACACCAAATGTCGCCGACACCAAGAGTTCTTCCCGAGTCTGTCGGTCGCCCAGACTCTGGCACGATGGTGTTAAGAAAGCGCCCTCACCAAAAATATACTGTATGATATATGTCTGCCAACTGTTAGCAGCAAGAACAAAACATCAACCGGACACCCTACCGGTCCGAAGGCCGAGTAAAACCTGGTCCGGTGGCCTCATTGACGTTTTTTTGTATGATCAACTCCAGTAAAATCAGGTCTTTGACCCGTAGGGTTTTCTTTTCAGCCAAGCCAATTGAGGTCAATCAACTTGCACCCTTTGGATCCTGGTTCTTACTCCACAGTGTGAATGAGGGTGGCGAAGAAAGGCGGTCGGTGGATCTCAGAGGTCCAGTCAACATCGTCGTCTGTCATCCTGGGACATCATATTGTGTGCCCATGGAGCCAAAGAGAGGCTATTGGCTATTGAAGATTAATGATTGATCCCCTTGCGCAGGGGGCTCAGCCTGCGAAACGAGTTGGAGGGACGAACCAGCATCTTCTCAACTTGTCAAGTCGTCAGATCATCCGAAAACAGCCTCGACACATCACAAAAAGAAGCGCAGTCGCGGAAGCACTACGACAGGAGCACTTCACTTGCTGGCTACCAGTGTTCACCTTGCAAGCGATCTTAATGTCCAGGTGCCTCCGCTCCTGTCGCCCGCCATCGTTCCGCACACCCCCAGCCCTGCACTCGTCACCCATTCGTCTACTCCCCTATGAAGAGGAAGGTGGAATCTGAAAGGCTCAAGCTTCTCTGCTTGCCCCGCCCAACCCTTTTCTAAAAGGAAACTGTGCACTGCAAACAAATCAAACATCGAAATGCAAGCTTCAACTACCAGAGACACCCTATGTTTCACACAGCTCCGTTACAATCTTTCCAGACCTTTGGATTGGAAAATGCTTGCCTAGAAAAATGGTCAGATTCCATATTGCTGCTCCCATGAACAATGCCAGAAACCTCTTCAGGGCAGTTCCAGTTGCAAATAGCTGGGTGGTTGGAGGGGGGTTCCAGTTCCAGATCTAGTTCTGGTTCCGATATTTCCGATGAAATGATTCAAGTACTGAGTGCAGTCGCGGGTATATTATTACTCTTTTTCGGGGGGGGTCCACTTCAAGTGCACTTCAATAGGTCAATGACGTACATATGTGTTCTTTTTTATCCGCGGCGGAGCGGGCGGTCCAGTTCCAGTTCCGATTCTAGATTGCCGAACGCTTCAATACGTCAATGACGTACATTCTCATACATTCTCTCGTTCAAATCCCCAATTACGTCAACCAACACGCTATTTTTCGGAGGCGGGGGTGTGTTCCACTTCCAGATCCACTTCCGCCTCCGACACCTGTGCGGTGCAATAAATCAATCACATGTACACAATGTGTCTATGTTTTCCCCGAGGGGGGAGTTCCAGTTCCCGTTCCTCTTCCACGGCGGAACACTGCGGTCGGTTGAGAGGTCTGCATCATTCTTTCTTGGGTCCTCTACTATCTCTACTGCTTTGCAAGGTGTTGGTGATTTTCTACCCTCACCAAGACTCCTCTTCTCTTGTCAGTGCGAATGGAAAATGGGCCCCGACCTAGGCGGTCTCGGCGGTTTCCGCAGAGCAACCTTTTTCTGGCCAGGCCCTGCCTTGAGCAACTTCCGGAGAGCCAACATGCAATGCCTACAGCGATAATTAGGTGGCACGGAATATGCCCGTCACAAAAAACGGTGACCCGTCACAAGAACCGGATGAGAAGGTTTGGCTTGGACGGCTTTGGTGGGGTTTGGTGGGGTGGTTTGCTCCACTGCACAACAACTGGCTGCGTAAAATGACCCCGATGTAACTGGACACCATTGCATGGCCCAAAGTGAGTGCCCTACTGCCCTGCCCCATGTGGTTGTAGTTGCCTCTACTAATATAGGTAACAACCAGAAATTGATCCCTGTAGATTTCAATAAAGGCACATGAAACCTGTAGATGAAGAGGCACGGTCAACTGTTACACTAGAAGGGTTGGTGAACTTAACAGAGTTGTAAGTCAGCGAACTGGCCCCGAGGTTTTGGTTGTAACAGACCACTGTGGCTCCAATCCCAAGCTAAACCCTCCGCAGTGCACCAACATAGATTCACAGACCATGCAAAGCTGAACTGCGAATTCGGTGATGTTCTGAGTACATATATACATATAATATAAGTTGTATACACATACAATCATGCAGTGTTTCCCTCGGGCCCTTGGGGACCTGTGGAACTCTACAAAAAAAAATGTCAATCCCTATTCCCAAAGTATCGATTGAAATACTATACAACATGCTACACGGTGTTGTCTGCATGGTCTACAATTCGCAGGGTTTTTTGCCAACATGCGTTCCTTTTTTTTCTACCATGTTTCCCAGGAACTCCTGCCACTGCGCCCACCCGCACTCGGCTCCCAGCACTTCGTCGCCGGCCTTCACTCGGCGTGTGGTGCCTGCGGTGCCGCGTGGGCGCTGCGGGGCGTGCGGCGTGCAGCCCTGAAGATACCAACTTGCCATTTTGCTGGAAAAGAACGGTGAACCGAAGGATCTCCACCTGTTCTTGTTGAGTGGGGTCCCCAATACCCCCAAAAATGGTTGGGCAGCTTCTCCTCGTACCTCCGGGGGTAGTCTATGGCCCTTTTATGATCCAGCACGCAGCAGGTGCAAGGCCATGGAAGGGTTAGGATCTGCTGGCAAGCCACCATACAAACACAAAAATTCAAATCCTTTTGGTTGGGGGGGTCCAACGGAAGCAAACACGTCAATGGTTTTCCATTGGGTTTTTGACCAAACCCTTCTCATCTTGGGGTGTGAAAGCCAAAATCCATGGCTAGGAGGTTGAGATCATCGGATGGGAGTCCCGACTTGGCTTGAAGCCAAAAGACACAAGAAGTGGGTGTGAAAGTCAAACAGGGCGACCCTCGTTCGACTTGGGAAAAAAAGGACCTTTCATGACCGTTCAATTTATACAGGGTCCACTCACTGTCGTTTTTTTTGTGGTCTGTCTGGTGGCAATCCTTCTGGTGGTTCTTGCCGTTGTTGTTTGTATTTGTTGGAGTCGCTAAAGCACAAAACAAAAACTGTCCATTGAACCACACCAACGAGTGCACAGCCGAGCCTTCCACAAACTTCCACGGGCTAAAGTGTGTACGTGGAGGTTCTTATTAACTTCACTGTGCCAATGCAGAGCATGTCGGACATGATGGAAGCCGGTATGGATTAAGCTGAGACACCCTGTATGTGTACGTGTATATGTATAATCCCCCAAGCAGTTTACTGTTGGGGTTCTATCTTAGAAAAACAGCTGGTCACACTGACTGGCCGCGCCCCTGAACTCTGTGGCCGGCTCTTGTCCTCCTCTTGTCCTTCTCTTGTCCTGCTGTTGTCCTCCTCTTGTCCTTCTCTTGTCCTCTGGCCGCACTGACCAGCCCTGGACACACCTGAACTCTGTGACCGGGTCTTGTCCTCCTCTTGTCTTCTCTTGTCCTGCTCTTCTCTTGTTTTTGCTTGTGGCCGAACAATTAGCGATGTCGATGCCGACAAAAATCATTGACAATGCAGTTTGCTCTTGGGGGGAAGGTAGGGCGTACCAAGAAATCGTTTTTGGATATTGGTCCAAACCAATCGTTTTGAAACTGTTTCGGGTCTATGCTGGTATAATGGTGTGTCTGTGTCTGTATATATAATGTATCATGGGTCATGAGGACCTATGCAATTGACCAATAGCAATAGATAGATAGGGTCAAAGAAACTGACCGGCATGTGTTGGTCCACATTGCTTTGTGTTGCATCCACAGATCACGCCATAGCAGGACAGCTAGGCTCTTTTGCGCCAACAAAAGCACTGAGCGTCTTCATCTGAGTCCAAGGAGGAGGAATCTTCGCCAGCGAGGCAGGCGTGAAAGGCATGAACCTGAGAGGAGGCATCTGACCTCTCTGCAGATCAGA